CAGTGCACTGCGACACACCTTCCCCCCTCAAGTTCATAGCTTCTTAGGAGCAGGGTGCAGCAGTGCCCTGCGACAGCCCAACTCATATATGTTCCTAACTATTCAGATGGGTGAGTGATTTTTGCAAACAGTATATTCAGAAAAAAGGTCTTACAATTTATTTATGGTTTTTTGGTTGGCAATAGCTCTGCCAGTGAGTTGCATTGTTAAATATATATTCAACTATATTATGCATTTTACATATATACATACATACACACACACACACACACACACACACACACAAAAGATCAAAGTTGGATATATTCTCTATACTTTTCAGTAGACAAAAGGAGGAGACAGGAAAGAAAAGTTCAATGTTAAATAACATTAACCTTGAAATCACTGGGTGGTATTCTATTGGGCTGAATCACTCCCTCCCTCCTCTTCATAATCTCTATCATAAGTAGGGGTGTTGGCACCATTTACATATAAGACTGATGAACACTTCTCATTATAAAATCCAACCTTTGGTTACTTCTAACTTTACTAAACATAATTGGGCTGAATTTTCCATGCTGTATGTCTGCCTCAGATTTTTTTTTTTTTGTCTCGTTTCAGGCAAAATTGTTCAGCTGTTTCTGAGAATAATGCCAGGAAAAAATACCTTGTTTATCAATGTTAAAATAAATTCTGGTAACCTGATATGAGTTTCCCCAACTTCTGGAACAATGATATGAAGCTTGGTATGTGGTGGCCTCTGTGTCAAGGATGTGCCTTTTGCACTCCCTGTGAAAATGCGCCTTAATTTGCCTGAATTCTATGCTTTGAAAACGTGCAATTTGCATGTGTTTAGAAGAGGCTTGCTTTAGTTGTAATAGCTAAAATCTCTGAAGCCTGCATTCCTACTCAGTTTCTCACGACCTTAGAGTCGAGCAGACTGCTTATGAGACATTGCCACAAAGCATCCAAGCATTCTCCATCCCAACCCAGACCCTGGGTGTGAGACTGAGCTGCATATTGTTGAATGTAAAGCAGTTATTTAGCTATGTGAAGTCACTGCGTACACATTTATTGTCGTAAAACTGTATGTTCTCTTATAGTACACAACGGTATATTTATAAAGTGAAAGGATTTTGTTTTGTGTTACGTCAAGCTGTGAACCAAACTCTCACAATGCTTTAACGTTAATATTAGTTGAGCTCTGAATTGCCTTGGCATTGTTTAGTGAACATTTCTCAAACCTGTCCAGTCAGAGTTGTTTAAAGGTTATCAGCAAATGCATTATTTTGTAAGTAGAGATGCCTAGCTGGGCAAAGAGGTAAGTTCTGAGAACTAAGGAGGGAAACAACTTGAGGGAATGCAGGAAGTCCATAAGCAGGTAACTGAGACCGGCAGGACAAGGAGGATAGTAAATGGGATAGAGAGAACATCATGGGGGAGGGGAGACAGATCTGAAATGGATCTTGGAATTGGAGAGAGAAATGACTCCAGCTGAACAAAGAGACAAAAAAAAGAAGCTCATGGGAGTGAACACAGGTTGAGGGAAAAGCCTGGGAGCCAGAGGGGATAGGTACACAGGTCTGGAGAGGACTGGAGGCCAGGGTAAGGGAGACAGCTATCAGAGTTGGGGAAGGAACCTGAACGGATAAGCAAAGGAGACTGTCCAAAAAAAAATGGTGTGGTGGAGTAGGAAAGGACTGGAGGATGGCTAGCAGAGGTGCTGACTACTCCAAGGTGCAAATGAAGTCAATAGGAACTGTATTTAGAATATGGACATGCTAAATGCTGTGGGAAAAAATAGGGCCAGGGTAACTCAAAAAGGCAACCCAAAAAGTGGATCTGTCTGAGCTTCAATTTACCGTCTGTAAAACTTGGGATAATACTCCCTCATCTGAACTCCTGTGCACTGAATGAATTCAGGGATCCTGTGGGAAAAATTAGTCAGAGATCCTGTAATTAAAAACTTCATCATAATGCACACTCACCATAGGGTGAAACTGAGGTTGCCCAAAGCACACTTAATTCCAGCATTTCCTAACTTTCTAATGTTTACTTTGCAAACCTCATCATCATCTTTTCAATGCCAATTCTTGCATATTACATTTATATAGAACACCTAAAGTACGCAAGCTATACCAGAAAACTTAATTGGATTCCCCCTTACATGTTTCCCATTGAAACTGAGCAAATAACAACAGCATTACATTAGCTTGAGAATTCTGATGCCAGTAAACCAATCAAATGCCAGAACAGAAATGGTGTAGCAAACAAAAGTCTTAGAGTGCCTGCGAGCCCAATATATTTCAGGATCTCTGGCTTTATGATCTGCACAAGCTTTCGTATACTCTACATCAGGCTGAGCCATGTTCAGAACAAAAAAAAGTCATCCTGCTCTTAAAGGCTAGGGACAGATTTACACATAAAGCAGTTTAAGTGATCGGAAACTGGTTTAAACCTGTAACAGAACAGAAGTTCAGTGCACATAAGCCAGTTTCAAAATGGCCAAAAATAGTTTAAGGTAAACCTGGTTGAATGTACTATCAGTCTCAACTGACTGAGGTCCAATCAGTTTGTGGAACTTCTGTCCCAAACCCCTTCCTGGTTTAAGTTACATCAGAGTCCCCCAACATCCCAGCATGCTTTGCAGCCCTGGAATGGGCTGTGCTGTCTGCTCCTCTGTTCTCTAGCTGGAGCAAGGGCAGGGGTGTAGCCAAATGTTGGCATGGCCCCCTGAGGTGAAGGGGACAGGCATCGGATTTATTCTTCTCTCTCTACCCCACCCAGAGTCAGCCTGGCCAGGCATTTCCCCCTCCACCCTAGTTGCTTGAGCAGCAGGGAGCATGGCCAGATGCTGATCCGGGGTGGTTGCCTGAGGTGAAGGGGTGAGGGAGGGGGGATTAACCTGTGTGGGTGGGAGATGGGAGGGAGGAGGGGGATTAATCCCCTCTCCCATCCCCCACCTGCACAGAACCCCAGCTGGGCCCCTGCCTGGCATTTCGTCCCCCTTGCCAATCCAGTGGTGCGGGGGGGAAGGTGGCCAGACACTAGCCCCCAGTGGCTGCCTGAGATGAAGGGGTGAAGGGTGGGGATTAATGCCCCCCCTTCCTCTCCTCTCCCCCAGGGAGACCCTAGTCAGGGTCTGCCTGGCTGGGGCATAGCAGCCTGTCAGGGTCCCACCCCCCTCACTGCTCCAGCAGCAGGAGCAGGGGCATGGCCAGATGTCAGCTAGAATGGCCCCCTGAGGTGACGGGGGCAGGAAGGCAGTTTATTTCTCTCTGGCCACACCTCTGCCCCTGCCACTGGAGTAGCAAAGGGGTGGGGGGGACGACACACCCTGACAGGGGAAGCAGCCCCTGTCCCGGTGTTCTGGGGAGTGCAAGCCTCTTCCCATTGTAGGGGCTGCATTTGTGGGTGGGAGTGGGTCGGACAGAGCTGCCACAGCATGTGCAGGGTAAGCAGGGGCAGGGCTGGGAGGGGTGGCTATGAGGGGATAAGCAGCAGTGGTGCTAGGTGGGGCTTGAGTGGGCTAAGGTCACCCCAAATTCACCTTAGCCCCTGTAGCCGCCCTTCCCAGCACGGCTGCCACTTGCCCTGTAGAAGCTGCAGCAGCTGTGCCTGCCCTGCTCCTGCCCACAGCACAGCCCCCTCCCCCCCAACTGGGAAAAGGCTTGCATTCCCCAGGACACCATGACAGGGATTGCTGCCTCTGTCAGGGTTCCCCCACCCCTCGCCACTCCAGCAGCAGGGGCAGGGGCATGGCTAGATGCTGGCCGGCATGGCCCCACCATCCACCTGCCTTGCCTGGGGCTGGAGATGTGGGGCTGAACTGGGATGGCCTGTGGACACTGCTGAGGATGGGCATGGAGGGGCTGGGCCATCGGGGTGGGGCCCTTCCCAGCTGGCTGAGGCTCAAGCTGGAGCCATGGAAGCTGTCTGCTTAGTTTATTGCCAGCTCCCCACACCCAGGCCAGGCTGGGCAGTCATGGAGCCACTGTGGTGGACAGGCTCTCCCCATTCTCCTCTTCCCCACCACAGGGCCAGGGGGCTCTACCTTTCAGTGCCAGACAGGGACTGGGGTCTGGCCACAGTCCCTCTCACCCCCTCCCCCAAAAGCCTGGCAGAGGCTGCTTCCCCCCTCTCCTTCCAGGCACACCCCAGCTGGGATCCCTGCAGGCCAGAGTAGAAATTTAAATGCCTCTCCAACCATATTCA